GTGAAGACCGACCTGTAACAGATTTTGTAGTATCTATAGTTAAAGCTATTTTCTAGAGAAGTAAATCTTTCAGTAAAAACTTAAGTGTTATATCTTCCTTTTTTAAAGTTCTGTTTTGCTTTAACAGAATTTGCATTAACAGGCCCAATTAAGTGGCTCAGTTATCCATCATTCAGTAGCATTGCTTCCATTTTTCCAAGTATATGACTGTATTATCCTTAGTCGACAACAAACCTAATTTAGCTTTAAAAAAGAAATTCTTGTGAACAGCTAACAAATGAAAACCACCAAGTTATCTAAATCGTGTGCCATAGCCACAGACAGAACCTTTGTAAGATTTATATTTCAAACCAATTCTGAGAGATTTAAATCTTCAAGAACAGATCTTAAAGGAATGATCTTAAAGAGCAGATCACTCAAGCCACTGCAGCGCACTGTGGGACGGTCTCCTTCGGAGTGCTTTACAGGGTCCTAGGCCACAAGGGCTGCATCGCTTCCTCCTCCAGGGAGCAGAGGCCCAGTCTGAGCAGAGGGGCAAACAGCAAAATAAGCATACAAAAGCTTTGTATAGTTGATACTATGCATGTAGGTGAAGCAAGCAGCTTAGCTAATAGGGCATAACTGTTAAAAGACTTATTAAATAAACCACAAAAAGCTTACATTCTACCTGAAGAAAAAAGCTGTTAATTGGGACAACCTGTTAAGCTGTGACTCAGTGTGTTCATTACTGAAAGTATGTTTTAAAACACAAAGCAACATAAATTACTGCTATTCATTTGGTTAATGAAAAGTAAATAATTTATTTGTGATCACCTGATGCAATTAACTGCTTGTTGTTATTGCCAAATTACGCACACATTACGTTGCAAACAGACTCATTAATCCAGAAGACAGGAAGAGTAAAGAAGCATTCAGAGACTGTATGCAAGGAGCACTGCAGAACATGCCAACTTTAGAATTTAATTCCCTTCACCAGAGTTGAAAAATAAACCCTGTAATATAGAGTGACATACAAATGGAAACCCCATCTCAACTCTGAAAAGGCTAATTGTCCCCTCATATCCTGGAGGATTGCTCCCAGGGATGGAATTATAACTAAAGTGATACAAACAGTTTACAGTGGATTTAATTAAAAATATAAATAGCAGGGCACATAATTAAATTCAAAGATAACACATCACATGAAATTGACTTCCAGCAAGAGTTAAGCTATATATTGATATTTACAACATATGGAAGTACAGGAAAGAAAAACGGGAGCAAGGAGAAAAAAAAAAAAATCAAGAGATGCAGTGGCAAACTGTGGTAAAAAAAATAATTTACTTGGAGTATCAGTAATAGAGTCTTCAGTAGCAAAGGGTAGATTATGAAAAGAAGCAGCAATCCTATTTATGGAGAACAAACTAACAAACAAAAAACAGGAAAGATGGTCTGACACACAGAACACCAATTTGATTTTTAACGAACACTAGGTACGACAAAAGGATTAGAATATACTGAGTGCACGATGCTGACATAGATTATAGGAGCAAAATCTTCTGAAGCACTACATTACTGTGCTCGTAAAGCACCAGCATACAAACATGGTAAACGCCACAATTAAAAAAGGATTTTGAGATGCTACTCGTAAAAGCCTAGAACAATTAGTTTTCAGAAACAGTAGTTTTATCACATAAAACATGAAAGACTATTCTTGATGAATAGTTCTGTAACACATGGGTATACACGCACATATATGCGCATACATATTTTACTGTAAGAGCACATGCGTGAGAGAAATAATTAGGAAGGATAAAACTGAGTAAGAATATCAAATCAGAAAACCCCTTGAAAAGTAGGAGATCTCAAATATCCATAAGAGAATGACATTGTTAAGAAGCTAAACAATCTGTTCTAATTTATTTTCCCCACAAACTTACCTTCATATAAAAAAATCATTAGCTATTAATAGAAGTTGATATATCAAAGGAATGCCTACTAGAATAAGTTGTTCAACTAAAATACAGGTCCGCTGAGGAATGTGAATGTGTGTTGAGTTCTGAAAGAACTAAAAAAAAAAAAAATACATGCTAACAAAAACAAGATATCACCTCTTATGTGAGATGCTTGCCAGTTTGCAGGCCTTGTACTCCTCTTAAGTAAATACAAGAGATGAGCTAAAACTTTATAATTAAAGTATAAAGGCATTTAAAATAATAAAAGACATGGAGAAAAGGGAATAGGGAACGACTGTTCACTGTCCCTTCCAATAAGGGGAAACTGAAATACATTAAATGCGATCAGTACATGGCAAGGTTCAAAGCAAAAATATAAAAAAACACACAAATCAAACTGTGGAACCCCTTGCCACAAGCTTTTTAGGATGCTAAGAAGTTTACATAGGCTCAGAAAATGGAATGAGCATGAACAGAAGAAAAACACATCCTGGAGCAATAAATATTGGGACACCACCTCAAGAAATCCCCAAATCTCTGAGGGAAGTATTATGGGAAGGCATTGCTAAATGCCCTGTTTTTATATGCCACCTCCCTTCCCCTGGCATGTACGAGTTGTCAGTGTAGGAGAAAAGATCTTGGGCTGATTTTCCATGGCTGTGCTTACGTCTGTACCTGATACATTGGTTGAAAAAATTGAAAACAAGACACCTACAAGAGCATGATTCAGCAGCTCTAAGCAGCAAATCTACAAAGAAAAGGCTCACCTCTTACTCAAAGAAAACAGAGGATCAAACAGCGAACAGACAGATTATTGCAAACCACAAGACAAAGCCTCTTCTTACTAAAGATGCTTAGTCACAGTGACAAAATCAAACATTAACTAATACTCTCATCTATAATAAACACTAAAATGAGTCCCTGTCCAGATCTGCCTCTGGGTACTCTGGGTATTACAAAGCAAATGGTAAAAACAATAATAAAGAGGGAAACATGAGACCATTTGACAAACAAATCTTTTTAAATAGACTGGTAGAAATTCATACCTAAGAACGCTCAAAACAACATTATAAAATTCAAGGTAATGAAAAAGCATGAATATCACAAACTTAAACATTATATGAATAGGGCAAGTCACAAAATCCCTAACATCAATGACAAGACATAAAAAAGAAAAAAAACCCCTACTTTTTACTATAGAAAAGACAATTTCACACAGGAAAAATTATTATGGTGTAGAACATGCTTTTTGGTAGAGTAAAAAAATACTGGAAGTCCAGCACAGTCAGAACTTGTTTGCCCTGTTTTGGCATCCCTACAATTTGTATAAGACGGTCATTTTACAGCCTACTTTGTATTCATCACAACTACTGCCACATTACTGTATTTCACTTCTACAAGTAAACATGAGTTGCAAGAAGTTAATCATGTCCAGCTGATTCCCAAATTCTCTCCCACTTTGGTGCCATTTGATCAATCTGGAAATGTTTGCCATAATTTTAAAATGAAATTAATTGGTGCTCTCATTCTTAGAGAGGCTACAATATTTTATATTCTACATTTTTTCCAATTTGTTTCAGTACCATGGAAGCCCTGAAGACGTAGAAGCATTGGGATGCTTTCAACATCTGTAACAACAGCCTGTTCTCTGAAAAGATAGGCAGGGGAGGAGGGCCACAAAAAACTTTTTAAAAACAATTTAAAAAATACTAGAATTTTTTTAAAAAATTATTTTTGCTATTGAGGAACTACAAATACTTAGCTTTGAATAGAAATAGTTCAAATTCTGTATTAAAAACTGGTAAGTACAGCCTGTACAGCCTACTATACCTCAATCCATATGTATGGACAAACTACAAGCTACTTCTAGGCTATCAGCTTGCTGTAATGGCTAATTTTGTCTCTAAGCTTCCTCACAAATTTGATGCAAACTCTAGACTGTAACAAGGGAAAAAAGTCCTTCCAGGTGATACAAATCATATGCTTAGCTGTCACAAACCATACATTTTTCATTCATTTCTTTCATAAATGAAAAAGATACAATGAAATTTAATGCCAAAGCACCCCAAGGAGATGGTGCTACCCAATACTAAGCATTAAAAGCTGCAACGTTCACTGTTATCTTCTCAGTAAAAGCTGTCTGTCTATGCTGCAGCAAGTACATAAAAGTGAGGTACATTAATAGCTTTTTTGGTGGTCATTAAGCTTGCTATTGCCCATGTTCATTAATCTCTCAAAACAAACTTATATGCAGCATTGTGCTACATTTGTAAAATATTTTCAATCTGTTTTTATTTTTTTAAGGGTTGCCTAAATGATGAAATACAGTTAAAACGTGCTCAGTGAAATGTTATGTCTTTTCCTTTTTGATTATCGATATTCAGTACTGAGGACAATTATTATTATTGGCATTCAAAAAGTCCCACCAAAGGTGATCCAATGTAATAGTTGAGTGTAATATTCAGTGAAAGAAAAGATGTTTCATCTAAGAAAATAGTATTTTTGAATGTTCAATGAACTAGTTAAATATCACACTTTTACAAAAAAAAGTCTGAAAACAATCCTTTTCAGAACACTACACATTTAAACTTATAAATATGTATCATGAAAAAGAATCTCATCTGTCAATTCACTAGCAATAGTAAAACATTTGAAGTTACCTGTTCAAAATCATCACTATTTTAAGCTGCTATTAAAATGGAGATATTTTGCAAACGAAGAATATCAGATTGATCTATAAGAAGCAATTGATCAATCAAATCATGTTAAAATATTGTTAAAATTGTTAACATTATAAGAGAACTAAATATTTATTTCTCCCACTACTCAGCAAATAAAACATTTAGTAAATACTTTTACCTCTTCTCCGCCCATAGCTCCTGGCTGCATGTAAACACAGAAGAAAATTGTCGGTATAGCTGTCATTAGATTTAGCTCCAAAAGCAAAGAAAATGTAGCTTCTACTTCTTCTCTTTCTCCCTCCCACCATAAAGAAGGAAAATACATTTTTAAAAGTTCAAGATGAAATTCAAACAACCCAGGACAAGAGAAAAAGTTTGAGGATGACACAGCGAGGGAAAAAAATGAACATATGTGCTGTGCAAGTTTTCCATATATCAAAGTAATTTAAAAAAAAAATCAGGCACATTAGACATAATACTGTGAAAGAATTTAGGATTATGGTTTTACGAGACAGTAAATATCGTCATCCTAATTAAAATAATTCATTTCTCATTTTATTAATCAGTTTGTAGACAACATATTTTCCAATTATTTTTCAAGTTAAATAATTAGCCATCTGTAAATGCTAAAATCCAATCCAAATCATAAACTCAATATCCAGTGTGTTCAGACTAATAAAAACAGATTGACAATTTTTTTTAATAACTATCAGGATTAATATACCATTTCACTATGACATTCATCAATGGCAAAAGTTGTACGAGTGCCAAAGTAAGCCACAGAGTAATAAAATATTTGATAATATAAACAGAAATGCAAAAAGCAGCACTTTTTATTCTAAAGTTTTAGAACACAAGAAAATAATCTGGAAAATAGTGTCTTTATACTACACAGGGACCTCAATATCATAAAAAAAATATCTGTGGCCTTCCCAGGTAATCAAATGCCCAGCTAAGAGTCATGCTGAGTTTTTCAACAGAAAGGAAGCACTGACAGTAATTAATAGAGCCTGGTTTTGCTCCTTCTCTCTCCACTGCAATACCATTTGTGTTCCTGCCCTCTCCCAAGCCCATCTCTTATTTCCACATCCCCCCACAATCCCCTCAGGTCCTGCCCAACATGTCCAGGTCTTCCTTGGGATTCCTCTAGCTCCCCCTATATTCCCTTAACCTACTTCATCTAGTTCCTTCTTCCCCTTCTTCTATACACACCAAGTGCCCCCTACTGTAAAATCTTCCATCCTTCCCATAGCTCTATTTTCCCTCTTCAACCACACATTCCGAGATGCCTCGCTATACCCTTGTTTTTCCCTACCTACCTTTATTTGGCCTGCAACTGCTCAACAGCTCAGTTGTGGCTAGGAAAGAACTACTCATCTGCGGCCCAGTGCACTGGACGTCACTGCTGAGCGGCCAGGAGGGCCACCCCGAGCAAGTCTGGGTCTTCCTCACTGTATGCACTAGTAACCTCTCTTCTACTCAGGTAGTTTCCTCCACAAGACCCGAAGAAACAGTCTCAGACACCACGTAACTGTCTTTTCCGTTTTTTTTTTTTTTCCTCTTGTCAGTGAAGCCACAAAAGAGCAACTACACAAGTGTTTCATTAGGAAGATAAAAAACCGTCAAGGTCTATAAAAAAGAACTGCTTCAAAATTTTAGTTTAAATGAGGACAGTGGAAGGAGTTTACCTGTGTGAACAACCATTTAACCACAGTGAGGAAGTTGGTAAGCTCTGAAACTGAGCTGGCTTTGCAGTAAGAATAAAAAAATCAATTTTCCTCCTTTCCAGTTATTGCTAAAGCTGTATTTCATTACTTATTATGATGGCAAAGAATCACTGTCAGACGTCATGTAGCAAATAGCCTTCCTGAATGCCCATACACCACAAAATAAGTATGTGTCAAGGTATAAGTATCATACTTTTCAAGAACAATTTATGTGAGATGGGTTTCTGAAACAGAATGCTATCAATCTACAAATTAGAAGTATTAATTCAGTGTAAGATGAAAAAGAGTTCTGTATTTCTGTTAAGAAGAAATGAAAGCTTCATATGTTATTGGAAGCATATAGGCACTGTGCAAGATTAGACTACATGATGGTAGAAATCTACCAAAGACTTCTGTAAATTTTAGAATAACCCATTACTTTTACCTTATACAGGCACTCACACACTTAATCTTTATGCCTAAAAAACTTTTTAACCGAGGGTATATTTACAATCATCTGTAAATTCTAGGGGGAAAAATACTGGAATCCACTTAAACAGGAAGACAGTTTAGTCAGCTTTTTCTTTAAAAACATTGCATCACATTTAAATACTAAACTCAGTTTTTTCCAGTGATGACATTAAAATATTACTTTTTCTAAATAGCTAAAAGATATGCAACAAGGCAATTTGGGAATGCCAACTTTCTTCTGTCATTTACACAGAATGCACAAAAAGACTATGTAATTTTAGACAAATTAATCAAGAATACTTATCTAGTTTGTAACTCAAAGTTCAGAGCACAAAACACATAATAGACGAAATGGTTCATCAGATAAATTTCATACCAACCCCAGTTTGAGAAAATATCTTATAAAATAAACAACTTAGAAATTGTTCTTGAATGAAGACGGTTGGGAATCAAGAAATTGATTGTACTATTACAAATAGTGAGATTACAAGTGTTAGATTTAACACTGAATATGTATATCTGAATAGTTGCTTTCTCATCGGCAATTCAAATACAAGACAAAAGAAAAAAGGTTAAGAGGTCCCAAAATCGTACCCACCACGGATGACAGCCATTCCCATATACTGCTTTGGGGGCCAAATAGCAACCTCTGCTTGCACAGAAAATCATCTCCTGAATGGTTTTAAAATTCAACACAAAGAAGGTACCTTTCCTAGGCACCTTAGAACACTACAGCATTGATGAAAACATAGCTACTTTAAGAAGCAATGAATACATTTACCAAAAATTCTCCATTTAAACTGTTAGATAGTTGCAAGTAGACACCTATCAGTTGTGCAACTCTAGACCTCACTGAATGATCATGACTGCATTAGTATTTCTCTATCCCTCTGCAGTTTACTTCAACTCCGACAGGCAGAAAGCTACATAACCACTATGTTCTAAATTGCATGCGCACAAATGCAAAGGAACAATACATTATTTTTCATCGTCTGATAATCCTGGAACCCTCAAAAGTCTGCAACTGAGATGACCAATTGTTTCAATAAAGCAAAAAATACGAAACTGAAATGCTGCAATGTTAACTGCATCTCAAGAAAAGCAATATGAAACTGATGAAAGAAGAACTTTAAAAGCTTGAATTTTGCAAAGACATATCTGGCAGTCGAGGGAGGGGATCTATCTCTGGCACTGGAATGCATTTGCAAAATTTTATGACGTTTATGAGCTTTACCTCAAAAGAGTTTTGAGATAATACGGTTTATGAGATGAGCATAGCAGCACAACACAAGGCCTATACTGAAGCATATATCTACACAAGATAGCCCTTAAGCATTCAGAAGGAAGGAATGATCTAACAATCCCTGGCCTCCAGTCCTGGAAAGTCAGAAGACCAACACATCTACCATGTGACAATGTTGGCAAGAAAACAAGAAGTGATGCATATGAGAGAAGTTCCTCTGTTGTTTAAAGTTACTCTTGCTTGGTGTACATACATCCTGAAAACCAAGAACAATCCAGTCAAGCAGTAGTGCATTTCACATCATATATCAACCAGAAAACCACCCTTACTCTCACTCACTACCAAGATTGGGAACAAGTTTGATTTTTTCTGTATTGTTTAAGTTGGAGGGTTCCAACACAGAAGGGGACATCAGCGTAACAAAAGCAAAACATGCAAATAAATACCAGAATTAGATTTCCCAGAATTATTATTAGCAAGGTAGGTTTTCTGCAATTTATTTGAAAGAGATGAAACCAAAGAACAGCTATAGAAAAGAAAGGACTTTGACTAAAAGATAGTCTCACAGATTAGGCATTACCTAGTATACGTATATGTTCCTACTATATGTATATATGTACCTAGCACAGGTAGACATGAACCATATAGCTCAGCTAGAATACCTGTAAGAACTCATAGAAATGCCCTACTAGGTAAGCCCAAGGGTCCATCCAGACAAATATTCTGCCTTCAGTCATGGCACTAGAAAGAACATGCTAGACGGGCCATTATCAATGTTATATTCCTCTCTATTCCCTTAGCATCCAGAGTGATTGGATTAAAGAAGTTAGGAGGCACACTCCTGCCTACTTCTAATACCCGCCCACAAGGCCTTTTGTTCATGATCTGTCTAATGCCTTTATGAACCTGCTCATATTATCTGCTTCCACAAGTACTGTCAAAAAGTAAACTACGGAAGCACTTTCTTTTGTGGGTTTTAAATGGATCTACTAGAAGTTTCACCAAATGTCTCTCAGTTCTGGTGCTGAGGACTGTGGTAAACAAGCGGTTCTACTTTCCCCTCACCCACCACCTTTGCAACTTTGTACGGATCCATCGCATCCACCCTCAGCCTTCTCCGCCCTGGATTGAAGATCTCAGCTTCTTTAATCTCCTAGTATACAGCTCGTGGCATACATTTTCCACAACAGATTTCAGTCATAAGGTAACAGAAAATAAAAATTAGTGTCACTTGGCAAAAATAAATAACTGCGATGACTACATGGAAATTCAGCCTAGACCTGTGCATCACCTGACATGGTTCAGTTAAATGCTGTCACACTACACCAGTGCAAGAAGGTGTAATAATATTTTACAGCTCAATATCCCTTTTGAACCAAGACTTAAGTTAAGAAGCACTTGTAAAAACACAAAACACCTTACTAGATCTCCTGGAGACAACAGATGTTAGTCAGGTGAAGCAATGAGTATCCGTTCTAACTGTTTTTGTCAATTCTAGTTAAGAGTTTAATTTTTATGGATTAGAAACTGTGGGGAAGAACTTCCCTGGGAAAACAGCTAGCTATGCATGGGAGAAAGTTGGTAAAACAATTAACAAGTTTCACTGAAACACAAGCATGTTCTTAAAACAATTTTTAATGAAGCCAATCACATGAAGCTGGTATTTATTCAACATGTTAAAATCACTATCACTAAGAAAATTATCTCTAGAGAAACTTGAGTACTTGTCACCTACATCAAACAGATCAAAAGCTTTCAGCAGCTTCATTATGGTCATATTAA